TCCAGGGTCCAAAATGAACACTCATCAATTAACATGATGTTCTGGAACTGCAGTGCTATATGGTTCAAATTGTAAACTGATAGCCTGACCATCGTAAACGTAAGAGAAGTCAAGAAAAAACAACAGCAAAAAAAACAAACAAAAAAACAGAATATCATGACTCATCTTTTTTTTCCTTAGTGGAAAATGTCATATATGTAATATTCCATTCCACAAAAGGAACAACATCATGTTATTGACTGTTGAGAAATAAAGACTGTGTGAGACACAACCTCACAACGAAATTAAAACAGGTAAACAACTGCAACAAAGACACTAATATAATATAATATAATATATAGTAATAATAGTGACGAAAGGGGCGGGGCCGAGAGCCGTGGGAACGGAGCGAGGCCGGTGGAGTAATTGATAATGAGCGACACCTGCGCCACTCACCGGTCTCGAGTCCCACGGAGGAGCTCCGGAAGGATAAATGGAGGAGTTACAATAGTGAAAGATGAGAGAGGACCAGGCCTGGACTTTATTTTGTGTTTTGTTTCTGTCTGTGCGCAACAGTCGTCCGCGAGGGGTTCGCCATTTAGTCACCGTAGCGCCATTTTGGAGAGTATTCACTGAACATGAACTGCGTATACTGTTCTACTTGTCTGTGTCAGCCACACCGCACAGATACGTTTTCTACGTTTATTTATGCTTTGATTTGAACGAAAACAGCGTATCCGTGTGGACAGAACAGCGCACGCAGTTTACGTTCAGTGAATACTCTCCAAAATGGCGCTACGGTGACGCGGAGGAGACAAATTGTTGAATAAAATCGTTATTTTAGTTTTCTTTGCGTACAAAAATATTCTCGACGCTTCATGAAGTTCAGATTGAACCACTGATGGCAGATGGACTATTCTGACGATGTCTTTCATACTTTTCTGGACCTTGACAGTGTTATTTATTTGGCAGTCAATGTGACAGTCACAAGTCTCCCGGTTTTCATCCAAAATATCTTAAATTGTGTTCCGAAGACGAACGAAGCTTTTACGGGTTTGGAACGACATGGGGGTAAGTGATTAATGACAACATTTTAATTTTGGGGTGCAGTAACCCTTTAATAGTTTATTCATAGTTTATAAATTGTAGCTTCTACTTTTAAATAAGTGTAATAATCATGTAATAAGTGCAATAGAAATTTCTTTATTTATTGTCACTGTAATTTACAAATTGTTATTTGTAAATGAATAATTATGAGACTGTTTTGCATTTAACACATATGCCTTATTTACATAATTATAACTCCCTGTTCTGTGTGACTTTTTAGAATTTTTAGAGATTTTTTTATTTTATTGACATAGGAGAGGCCCAGTGGAAGAAAATTATCTGTATACTGGTATATTGCAACTATTGTCACTGTAAAAAAATTTCTGCCTATTAGGTTATTATTATAATTTATTTTATAATTTTTTAACTTTATTTAATTTTTTTTAACTCTATTTAGGATTAGGAATCGGGTTAAGGGATCTGAAATATATCTATGGTTCATGAAATCATGAAAAAGTTATTAAGTAATAGCAAATAAATGTTTATTTATAAAGTAAATTCCTACACATTTAAGGTTTTTTTAAGTATATTTTTGGGAAACTTACTATGAAATAATTGAACAAATATCAAGTAAAGGTTAGAAACACTTAATTAATCTAATGGCAATTTAGTTTTTTTCGTGACCTAATCTAAAGTGACTATTGAATATTTTCTCCTAATAACCATAAACAATGACTTTACTGCTGAAGAATCACTATTTGTGTATATTAAGGTATTAACAAGAGACTACAGATTTGAATTAACTTTAAACGAATAGTTTGCGAATGATTTAGAGGTTAATTCAGGATAATTGGGACCTTGTAACTGAATGTACCTGAATTGAACCTATAAGTGCTTTGTTATTGTATACTTATTAAAAGATGTTACAAAAATGACACTCTCTGTCTCTATGTACATGTGTGTTTATTATAAATGTGTAAGTATGTGATAGTGAATGTTTGTACATGTGTGTGTGTTTGTAGCTCTTACCTTCTTTTTGTCCCTCATGGAGCCTTTCCCTCTCACCATGATCTTACATCCTGTCTCTGCTTCCAGCTGTTTGGCTGTGAGCCCCCGCGGGCCCAAGATCCGGCCCACAAAATTAAGCTGCAACACACAAACACACACATCTCACTCACTGCATCTGCGTCCGGATGGAGCGATAAAGGATTTGACATTTGACAAGTCCCAGTTTGCATCAACAACACTATAAAATGTACATTTCATGTTACTTTTGAATTTCTTCTGTAAAGTGAAGCATTATTATGCAGGGGGCAATACACATAATATTCTCAAGTTTGAAGTCATTTTAATGTAATTCCTAACACACACACACACACACACACTGGCTCCTACCTGGTTGCTTATCACACTCAGTACAAGAATTATAATTACCATTTTTAAGGTCCTGCACCACAATATTTAGCTGATCTGATTCATCCTCATTCTCCTGCTTTCTACTCTTAGGCCTTCTGGAGACCGTTTATGGTACAAAAGCTGTCAATGGGGCGGTGACCTTTCAAAAGGCACTAAAATGTACCTTTAAGGTACTAATATGCACCCTTTAGGGGTAAATACGGTTTTGTTACCACCCCAGTGACAGCTTTTGTACCTTTTTTCAGAGAGTGAACAGTTCTTCATTTGATGGATGGTCTTTCAGTGTCTTGACACCTACAGTACATACTGGAAATCCCTCCCCCAGCGTCTCAGTGAAACTGTATCTCATCCACCTTCAAAACGCAATTGAAAACGCATCTGTTTACTCAGGGTTATTGAAATGTTTATGCATTGTCCTTGGGTTTGTAAAAAAGTTATAAGTACTGTATATATATATATATCTATATACAGTGGGTACGGAAAGTATTCAGACCCCCTTAAATTTTTCACTCTTTGTTATATTGCAGCCATTTGCTAAAATCATTTAAGTTAATTTTTTTTCCTCATTAATGTACACACAGCACCCCATATTGACAGAAAAACACAGAATTGTTGACATTTTTGCAGATTTATTAAAAAAGAAAAACTGAAATAACACATGGTCCTAAGTATTCAGACCCTTTGCTCAGTATTTAGTAGAAGCACCCTTTTGATCGAATACAGCCATGAGTCTTTTTGGGAAAGAGGCAACAAGTTTTTCACACCTGGATTTAGGGATCCTCTGCCATTCCTCCTTGCAGAGCCTCTCCAGTTCTGTCAGGTTGGATGGTAAACGTTGGTGGACAGCCATTTTTAGGTCTCTCCAGAGATGCTCAATTGGGTTTAAGTCAGGGCTCTGGCTGGGCCATTCAAGAACAGTCACAGAGTTGTTGTGAAGCCACTCCTTCATTATTTTAGCTGTGTGCTTAGGGTCATTGTCTTGTTGGAAGATAAACCTTCGGCCCAGTCTGAGGTCCTGAGCACTCGAGAAGGTTTTCGTCCAGGATATCCCTGTACTTGGCCACATTCATCTTTCCCTCGATTGCAACCAGTCGGAGGAGACAAATTGTTGAATAAAATCGTTATTTTAGTTTTCTTTGCGTACAAAAATATTCTCGACGCTTCATGAAGTTCAGATTGAACCACTGATGGCAGATGGACTATTCTGACGATGTCTTTCATACTTTTCTGGACCTTGACAGTGTTATTTATTTGGCAGTCAATGTGACAGTCACAAGTCTCCCGGTTTTCATCCAAAATATCTTAAATTGTGTTTCGTTATTTTAGTTTTCTTTGCGTACAAAAATATTCTCGACGCTTCATGAAGTTCAGATTGAACCACTGATGGCAGATGGACTATTCTGACGATGTCTTTCATACTTTTCTGGACCTTGACAGTGTTATTTATTTGGCAGTCAATGTGACAGTCACAAGTCTCCCGGTTTTCATCCAAAATATCTTAAATTGTGTTCCGAAGACGAACGAAGCTTTTACGGGTTTGGAACGACATGGGGGTAAGTGATTAATGACAACATTTTAATTTTGGGGTGCAGTAACCCTTTAATAGTTTATTCATAGTTTATAAATTGTAGCTTCTACTTTTAAATAAGTGTAATAATCATGTAATAAGTGCAATAGAAATTTCTTTATTTATTGTCACTGTAATTTACAAATTGTTATTTGTAAATGAATAATTATGAGACTGTTTTGCATTTAACACATATGCCTTATTTACATAATTATAACTCCCTGTTCTGTGTGACTTTTTAGAATTTTTAGAGATTTTTTTATTTTATTGACATAGGAGAGGCCCAGTGGAAGAAAATTATCTGTATACTGGTATATTGCAACTATTGTCACTGTAAAAAAATTTCTGCCTATTAGGTTATTATTATAATTTATTTTATAATTTTTTAACTTTATTTAATTTTTTTTAACTCTATTTAGGATTAGGAATCGGGTTAAGGGATCTGAAATATATCTATGGTTCATGAAATCATGAAAAAGTTATTAAGTAATAGCAAATAAATGTTTATTTATAAAGTAAATTCCTACACATTTAAGGTTTTTTTAAGTATATTTTTGGGAAACTTACTATGAAATAATTGAACAAATATCAAGTAAAGGTTAGAAACACTTAATTAATCTAATGGCAATTTAGTTTTTTTCGTGACCTAATCTAAAGTGACTATTGAATATTTTCTCCTAATAACCATAAACAATGACTTTACTGCTGAAGAATCACTATTTGTGTATATTAAGGTATTAACAAGAGACTACAGATTTGAATTAACTTTAAACGAATAGTTTGCGAATGATTTAGAGGTTAATTCAGGATAATTGGGACCTTGTAACTGAATGTACCTGAATTGAACCTATAAGTGCTTTGTTATTGTATACTTATTAAAAGATGTTACAAAAATGACACTCTCTGTCTCTATGTACATGTGTGTTTATTATAAATGTGTAAGTATGTGATAGTGAATGTTTGTACATGTGTGTGTGTTTGTAGCTCTTACCTTCTTTTTGTCCCTCATGGAGCCTTTCCCTCTCACCATGATCTTACATCCTGTCTCTGCTTCCAGCTGTTTGGCTGTGAGCCCCCGCGGGCCCAAGATCCGGCCCACAAAATTAAACTGTAACACACAAACACACACATCTCACTCACTGCATCTGCGTCCGGATGGAGCGATAAAGGATTTGACATTTGACAAGTCCCAGTTTGCATCAACAACACTATAAAATGTACATTTCATGTTACTTTTGAATTTCTTCTGTAAAGTGAAGCATTATTATGCAGGGGGCAATACACATAATATTCTCAAGTTTGAAGTCATTTTAATGTAATTCCTAACACACACACACACACACACACTGGCTCCTACCTGGTTGCTTATCACACTCAGTACAAGAATTATAATTACCATTTTTAAGGTCCTGCACCACAATATTTAGCTGATCTGATTCATCCTCATTCTCCTGCTTTCTACTCTTAGGCCTTCTGGAAACCGTTTATGGTACAAAAGCTGTCAATGGGGCGGTGACCTTTCAAAAGGCACTAAAATGTACCTTTAAGGTACTAATATGCACCCTTTAGGGGTAAATACGGTTTTGTTACCACCCCAGTGACAGCTTTTGTACCTTTTTTCAGAGAGTGAACAGTTCTTCATTTGATGGATGGTCTTTCAGTGTCTTGACACCTACAGTACATACTGGAAATCCCTCCCCCAGCGTCTCAGTGAAACTGTATCTCATCCACCTTCAAAACGCAATTGAAAACGCATCTGTTTACTCAGGGTTATTGAAATGTTTATGCATTGTCCTTGGGTTTGTAAAAAAGTTATAAGTACTGTATATATATATATATATATATATCTATATATATATATGTGTGTGTGTGTGTGTGTGTGTATATAAGCTTATTTTAATGTTTCTTCAAAAACCATTTCAATTTATTACACATAAAACATTACTTGCTTCTTAGACCGTGAATACAGATACTGCAACAGGCCCATACCTTTTGCTCCCACATTAACATTGTGGCATTTTGGCACTTTCCTTGAACCGTGGTTAATTTCTGACCAAAGTTATCACAGACATGCGAGATGGTTTAAAGAGGGTAAATGAAATTCCCTGGGAGGTACTTTATTTGAGCAGGCTGCCTAAGTGCTATCGTGGAGCTCATCAGCTGATAGCCTCCCATATGCCAGCGCCTCCTCTGGGCTTTCACTGAGACAAGATAAGAGCCGCCAATTGTTCACCTAATCGATCAGGTATATCAGCACTGACCCGAAGGCTTTCGGTCAAAGGCTCTGGCCTGGTCTGCAGCCGGTCATGCTGGAGAACTGTCCGGCAAGTGTGGGTGAGTTTGTGTTACAGTTACAATATCAGACCAACTCTGAATACACTATTATTAAAAAGTTTGGGGTCGGTTTGGTTTTTCTGTGTGTCTCATAATCACCAAGGCTGCATTTTTTTTTTTAGAGATGTATAAACAAATAAATGTCAAAAACACAGTAAAAAGCAGTAACAGTTTTAAATAACCGTTTTCTATTTGAATACATTTTATAATGTAATTTATACCAGTGATGCAAAGCTAATTTTCAGCATAATTACTGCAGTTTTCAGTGTCATATGATCATTCAGAAATCATTCTAATATGCTGATTTGCTGCTCAAGAAACATTTCTGATTATTATCAATGTTGAAAACAGTTGTGCTGCTTAATATTTTTGTGCAAACCATACATTTTTTTTCCAGGAATCTTTGATGAATAGAAAGTTCAAAGAACAGAATTTATTGGAAACAGAAATATCCTGTAACATAAATGTCTGATGAATTCAATGCATAATTGCTAAATAAAAGTATTAATTTCTTTAAAAAAATACTGATTGACTTTTCAAAGTAATGCATTACATATGTCAGTACAGTAAGTAAGTACATAAAAATATATTAACTAATAATAATAATATTCACTACCAGTCAAAAGTTTTTGGACAGTACATTTTTTTAACGTTTTTTTTTTAAAAGAAATTCTCTTCTGCTCACCAAGCCTGCATTTATTTGATCCAACATACAGAAAAAACAGTAATATTTTGAAATATTTGTACTATTTAAAATAACTGTTTTCTATTTGAATATATATTTAAAATGTAATTTATTCCTGTGATTTCAAAGCTGGATTTTTAGCATCATTACTCCAGTCTTCAGTGTCACATGAATCTTCAGAAATCATAATACCGTATTGACCCGAATATAAGACGATGTTTTTTTCTTGGAAATACATCTGAAAAAACGCGGTCGTCTTATATTCAGGGTCAAGACTTTGACATGTCAATAATACACCCACAACAATAGGTGGCGCCAAATACTCATAAAACGAGTGTGCCATGAAATACGTAACGTAATGCGTGTTGTAAAGATCGCGAGTAAAAACAAAAGAAAAAGAAAAGCTTACAGCTGCATGAGTCGTGACGGTCACGTTAGCCTGATGGGACCAAACTCTCTTTGTGATTTTAAACCGTAAGACAGTACTCAGATTTGAAGACTACAGTAAGATTTAACTTCTACCGTTAATAAGATTTTGGTGGGCTACTATTAGATGGATAGCCTAAATGTCTTAATTCAGATGGGCTACCTGTTTTTTTTTTTTATATGGTATATCAAAAAGTGTATATTTTTTAAATGTGATTGTTGGTACATTTGACCAGTTTTTACCAT